ACTCACCCCATCATGTGCACAGTCTGGCATCTAGAGTCCCCCCACCCAAAGTTGTCCTTTATTCATGATTGCTTCAGCCTAAGGGGTATTTCCCTCTGAAATGCCCTGCCTCCTGCCACCCAGCACAGGTTTCCTCATTCCTTCATGCCTGTCCATCCAAGCCTTCTTCCTCTAAGAGACTGGGGTCCAAACTCCATCCTCTAGGCAGCCCTTGTGGATTTAGTGTCCCATGTCTATGCATTTCCCTTTCCTCTCACCCGGCAAGTACCCTCTTATATTGTACTCAGTTTTCTTGCCTTGCTCTTGGAGGCCTTCTCTCTCCGGACTTATTAGACCCACGAGTGCTGAGAGGAGAGAGCAAGATACAAATTAGAGCCATGGGGTCACACACAAATGTGTCAAACTGGTCATCGTCACAGACACAGATACAACAATACAAAGACAGTTACAAATTATACATGTAAGTCAAATCAAACATGTGTCTATAAAACCAAGAGCCACACAAATGTAATGTAACAAGTCATTTAATTCTTTCTTGAATGTCCAAGCCAGAGTTTCCTGGTATCTTGGGGGTTTGATCCTCTGATCTGACACATTCCCCCAACTGTTTCACAGATGAGTGTAACTGGCCCAGAGATGTCCATGCCTGGCCAAGCTTTGCTCAAAATTCAATTCTCACATGGAAAGCGGACCCCCTCCCACAGAGGGCATGAAAGAAAGACAGCCAGATTGGCAGCTCACATCCTTCTTCCCTACCAGGCCAGGGGGTTCCCCCAACAGGGGTGCTGGCTCCTCCCACCCCTAAATCTTCCCAGATCTCAGTTAAATCGGGGTTGGGGGGCTTGGGGTTTTGTCCCCTTGGTGAGCTGTGGCCCTGTCCTGGTTTTCTTCAGTTTCTCCTTTTTTCTCTCCAGAAAGACACAGGCACCCCAGGAGCCCCACCTAGGCCCTCCCTTCCTGTGGGAGGTCCGGAGCTCTCCTTCCTCCTCTATCACTGGCCTCATCAACAACACTGGGTGTCTTATGTCTAATGGCTAGTATCTGATTCATGCTAAGGTGTTAACCACTTCTTAATAGCTTGATGAGCTGCTTCTCCCAGGGGTGCCTGCATTTGGAGGGACCCAAAGACTAAATCCTTTGAGGGCATGAAACTTTGTATGGCTCCCTTAGCACTTGGTAGGTGCTCAATAAATATTAGATAAAAAGATCGATACCAAAAGATCTGAGATAAAGTTTGTAAAGTGCCTCCTACTGAGTTTTGTACTTGGCTAGTACTTACTACATCGTGGCTGTTCTTTTTATTTTTTACTTTTCTTGAGGCGGAGTCTCACTGTCACAGAGGCTAGAATGCAATGGCATGATCTCAGCTCACTGCAACCTCTGCCTCCTGGGTTCAGGCAATTTTCCTGCCTCAGCCTCCTGAGTAGCTGGGATTACAGGCATGTGTCACCATGCCCAGCTAATTTTTGTATTTTTCATAGAGATGGGGGTTTCACCATGTTGGCCCAGCTGGTCTCAAACTCCTGACCTCAGGGATCCACCTGCCTTGACACCCCAAAGTGCTGGGATTACAGGTGTGAGCTACCGTGCCTGGCCTATTTATTATTTATTTATTTATTTATTTGAGACAGAAACTCACTCTGTCACCCAGGCTGAAGCGCAGTGGCATGGTCTCAACTCACTGCAATCTCCGCCTCCTGGGTTCAAGCGATTCTCGTGTCTTAGCCTCCCAAGTAACTGGGACTACAGACTCACGCCACCATGCCTGGGTAATTTTTTTGTATTTTTAGTAGAGCTGGGGTTTTGCCATGTTGGCCAGTCTGGACTCGAACTCCTGACATCAAATGACCCACCTGTCTCAGCCTCCCAAAGTGATGAGATTGCAGGCATGACCAACCACACACACTCTACTATTTATATTTTTAATGGTAACTTTTCCAATATCAAGAAGGGTCTGAGTTGACAGATTCTTTGGGCCTGGGGCCTGTAGAAACCCCACTCCTTTCCTGGGGCCTCTAGGAACCCTACTCCTTCCCCCTGGCTCCTGGTTTTATAGCCACATCCAGCATCAGATGACACTGTATGGGAATATCCCGGTCCAGAGGAGAGAAAGGAGAGAGGAGAGGACAGACCAATTCGCCAGTTCTACTGTGCTCTCTGCTTTCATTTGTTAACATTTATTGGACATTAAGTATGTATTTTATAAAGTAGGCACTCTATATGGGTTAATATGTGTCATCATCACAACTATCCCACCAGGAGTTTATTATCCCATTTACAGCTGGGGAAGTTGAGGCTTAGAGAGACCAAGCAAGCTGTGCTGCTGGGTGATGGCGTGGAGTTCAGATCCCTACAGCCTGGGCGCCAACCTGGGGTCACTCCAGGTGGACACAGGCCTGTAAGCTCCCTAAAGATGCCCCACTCTGCTCTTTGTGTTGCTTCTCCAACAAGGGGCTATTCATTGGTTCTCCCACACCTGAGAGGGAGGTATTCAGAGGCTGGTCCTGGGCTATGACGGAAGGCACAGAGGGAAGCGTTGCCTGTGGACATGGGACCCTCCCCAGGCCCTAGGCCCCAGGTCTAGGAAACAGCAACCTGCACATGAGTTTCCATGGATGGAGGAGTCGGGACACTGGGGAGGGGAGACTGCAAATTACAGGGTTTTTTTTTTTTTTTTTTGAGATGGAGTTTCGCTCTTGTTACCCAGGCTGGAGTGCAATGGCGCGATCTCGGCTCACCGCAACCTCCGCCTCCTGGGTTCAGGCAATTTTCCTGCCTCAGCCTCCTGAGTAGCTGGGATTACAGGCACGTGCCACCATGCCCAGCTAATTTTTTGTATTTTTAGTAGAGACGGGGTTTCACCTTGTTGACCAGGATGGTCTCGATCTCTTGACCTTGTGATCCACCCGCCTCAGCCTCCCAAAGTGCTGGGATTACAGGCTTGAGCCACTGTGCCCGGCCCAAATTCCAGGGTTTTAAGTAGTGGTTTTAAGCAGGGTTTTAAGCAGAAGAGCAGTGGGATTGGGGTCAGAGGAGATGGGGAGAGAAGGGGATCAAGGCTGAGTAAGAATAGCTTGGCAAAATTTTGGAGGTAGTTGAAGATGGGCCATTGGGTCAGATGTCCCTGGCTGGGGCAGGGAGCAGCAAGGAAGGAGGTTGTGGGACAGCAGCACCAGGGACATTGAAGGCCAGGCGAGGGCTCCGCCATGCATGTCGAGAAATGAAGCAAGCAGAATCAGAGGTGGAGGACCACATGCAAGAGCTCTAGAAAACCTTCAAATCTTCAGTGTGCACCACCAACTCCTGTGTCCCTAGTGTTGAGCATGGCACAGGCATACAGCGGGCACTCCGCAGAAATCCACCAGAGGAAGAAAGGAAGGGTGGGAGGGACGCAGGAGTTATAGAACCAAATTGGAGTCCACTTGTCTGGCCCAGTAAGACCAGATGTCTACACCGAGGTTTGCAGTGGTAGAAGGTGATTTTTTTTTTTTTTTTTTTTGAGATGGAGTTTTGCTCTCATTGCCCAGGCTGGAGTGCAATGGCACAATCTTGGCTCACTGCAACCTCTGCCTCCCAGGTTCAAGCAATTCTCCTGCCTCAGCCTCTCGAGTAGCTGGGATTACAGGCATGTGCCACCACACCTGGGTAATTTTGTATTTTTTTAGTATAGACAGGGTTTCTTCATGTTGGTCAGGCTGGTCTCGAACTCCTGACCTCAGGTGATCTGCCCGCCTTGGCCTCTCAAAGTGCTGGGGTTACAGATGTGAGCCATTGTCCCCGGCTAAGGAAGGTGTTTATTTGCAGGGCACCAAGCAAGAGGGACCAGGCAGCTAATGCTGAAGTCCTAACCTCCCCCATGGCTTAAATATTGGAGGTTTTAAAGGCAGGATAAATTTCAGCAGAGCAGAAGTTACAGGCAAAACTCAATACATGAAGGCTACATGTTGACTTTGGCCTAAAAGGGCAGAGTGTCTTTTTTTTCTCTTTATTTCTTCTAAAAAAAAAAATGGGATACACGTACAGAACATGCAGGTTTGTTACATAGGTGTACTTGTGCCATGGTGGTTTGCTGCACCTATTCGCCCATCCTCTAAGTTCCCTCCCCTCACCCCTCACCCCACAACGGGCCCTGGTGTGTGCTGTTCCCCTCTCTGTGTCCATGCATTCTCACTGTTCAAGTCCTACTGTGAGTGAGAACATGCAGTGTCTGGTCCGGATGTTTTAAAGTGGGAACTTACAGGTCATAAATAGATTCAAAGATTTTCTGATTTGCAATTGGTTAAGGAAGAGAAGCTTTGTTTAAAAATTTGGGGTCAGCAGAAAATAATGTTAGCTCTGGGTTGTGAGTGTGACATTCTCCAGGCCCCTTTGGAAGAAATTTCGAACAAAGAGTGGTGGTCAGTGATCAGTCCCTTTATCTGAGGTCTATGCGCCCAGGCATCCCTTCTGGTGGGGTTTGGGTTTCTGGCAAACAACTCAGGGACATTTGTTAAGATGCTATCTTTAGTTTTTGGAGGGGAACCAAACATCCCATGATTCTAGCTTTCTTGGCTATTGTTTTAGGCTACTGTTACCTTCTTCCTTGTCAAGCTGCTTATTTATTTCTCCAGGCTAGCAAGGTGACCAGAATTTCCCTTGAAGGAACTCAAGGTTTTCCTTTATTTCCACACTTGGGGGGACCTGCAGGCCCCTAAGAGGGGGTCCCTGCTCCATCTCAGAGTGCACTAAGTGGTCTCTAATTTGGAGAAGACTCTACTAGCCTTGCAAAGAAAAACTAAGATGACAAGTGACATGGCTTCAGAGGGGCCCCGTGGGAGCTGTCACAGAGTCACAGCCCCTCCAGCACATGCTAAGGATGTGTCAGAGCCGAGGGAGGTGAGGAGAGCTCAGACCTGGGCTGTGTGAGTGGAGGAAGATCTCCTGGAGGAGAGCAGGATGGGTAAGTGACAGAACAAGACATGGTGAAAGGCTGAGAGGGAAGGATGGAGGGAAGATGGAGGAGAGGGATGGAGAGGGATGGAGAGAGAAGGTGAGAAAGAAGAGGGGGAGAAATATTCTGGTGGTTTCGGTAAGAACGAAGAAGACAAAATGGCAGGAGCAAGGGTAGAGGAAGGAATGCAGAGGATGGGAAGGGACTGGAGTCCAGGCTCTTCCCCTAAACAATGTGAGAGAGAGCCCCAAACCAGCCTGTCTCCAGATTTTCCTCCCTCCTGTGCCTCACACAGCCAAGCACTGCAGCTCACCCACGGGGCTCCAGCAGGGATCTCTGGGTGAGGGTGATGTCCAGGGACGGAGCTGCCTTGGGCTGAATAGGGCCACAGCGGCAAAGGTGTTCATGGGAGTAGCTGGGGCCCATCACAGGAGCCAGTGGCCTGGATGCAGGGGATGCAGGCAGAGTTTCTGGGGCTGGCATCAAAGGACTGTTTGGAGTAGAATGACACTGTGCTTACTGGGTCGCCCCCATTGGGTCTTTCTAGCCTGAGTCTGCATGGAGGTCTGCACTCCTGGGGAGGGCCCCAGCCAGCCTGGTTCTTGGCCCAGTTGAGCTGGGAGAGATGCAATGAGTTAAGTTTCATGTTCATAACAGCTTATTTGAGCTCTAAAAAGATGATGACTGTCCTCGAGTTGTTCCTAGTCTTATTAGCAGATACACATTGGAGGAGAGACAGAAATGATGAAATGGACCACCCGGGAATCTCTGTGACCCTCCAGGCCATGGGGAAGCCTCTCTCTTTGTCCATTCTGTACCTCCTTCCAGTTGAGTCCCTGAATTTCTCAGCCACCGGCCCCAACTCCATCCTCCTTTTCTCTTCCTCGTTTTCTCCTGTGTTTGAAGGGCTTGTCCCCAAGGCAGCCTCCAGCCTGCTTTATTATGGGTGTTTGAGAGGGGTGAAGTGAGGACAGCCAGGTCCCCAGAGGACTTGCAAAAGCATGGAGTGCCCACATGCCCATGGTTGGCTCTGGCCTGGGCTGCTCCTGTCCCATCCATGAGGGGAGGGGGTTACTCCACCCCTCATACCCCATGAATGAGAGCAGCTGCCCTCTGTGGGTTATGTTTCCAGGCGTCCTGGGGAGGGGTGATGCCTAACCATCAGTCCCTTTCTAGAAAGAAGGAGAACAGAGGTTGGAGGCCCAGGTACTCTATCTACCCAGTGTCCTGCACTGTCCAGGAAAGTCCATCTGTCTTCACCTGCTGCATCCCCAGGAGGAAGCCAACAACCCAGAGAAGATTAATCAGGATAGGGATGGTGCAGTGCCAGTGACATCCCCCTGAAGAGGCTGGGGCCTGGGGCAAATTACCTTATAACAGCAGGTTAATTAGATAAGACCCAAATTACATGAGCAAAGCTTCAAATTACCCAGCAATTTGAAGGTTTCATGTTGTTTCAGAGGTGGGGAGGGCTTGATCTCTGGCTCAGCATAGAGAAAATGACTTCTTGCTCCCAGGCAAACCAAACCCACGAATTAAGCTCTTGACTGCCCATCCACAAGCCCCAGTGCCAAGCACATATAAAGGCACCTGCCAGTCCTCACTGCAACCAGCAGAACCTTTGTGGGATTTTGCCTTTCTCCCTTCTGCATCTGAGCTTTGTCTCCACCAGCACCATGAGCCGCCAATTCAGCTGCAAGTCAGGAGCTGCTACAAAGGGGGGCTTCAGCGGCTGCTCGGCTGTGCTCTCGGGGGGCAGCTCATCCTCCTTCCGGGCAGGGGGCAAAGGGCTCAGTGGGGGCTTTGGCAGCCGGAGCCTCTATAGCATGGGGGGTCCCCGGAGCATCTCTTTCAATGTGACCAGTGGCAGCGGGAAGAGTGGAGGCTATGGATTTGGCCGGGGCCGGGCCAGCGGCTTTGCTGGCAGCATGTTTGGCAGTGTGGGCCTGGGGCCTGTGTGCCCAACTGTATGCCCACCTGGAGGCATCCACCAGGTCACCGTCAACGAGAGCCTCTTGGCTCCCCTCAATGTGGAGCTGGACCCCGAGATCCAGAAAGTGCGTGCCCAGGAGCGAGAACAGATCAAGGCGTTGAACAACAAGTTCGCCTCCTTCATCGACAAGGTGGGTCTGCTAGGACCTGGGGAACCCGCGAGCAGCCTTCCTCTTCTCTTCTTGGAACATAACATTTGTTACAGCAGGAGAGGTTGAGGTCAGATGTGAGGAGGCCTTTACTATGGACAAGGGAGGTACATCCCATCATCAGGGTGACCTGTATAAGGTTCTCTGTGTTGTCTTTCCAGAAAGAAAACAGAGGCAGGTCAATTTCTACTGGCAGAGGCTTCTCAGGGATCCCAGCAAGAGATGTGGTCCTTCCTCTCGAGGGCTAGTTTGGTGCCATTGTGAGGCCTGAAGAGTATGCAGGCCATGTTCAGAAAAGGCCTGTGTGAGAGATCCTGGCCCAGAGCAAGCAGGGAAGGCTGTCCTCCTCTCATGGGATGCTGTCCTGCCCACTAGTTATTTGCCCGACAGATCAGGAGCCTCAGGGAGGGGCTGCCCCAAGCCCTCTAGTTCATGGGTGTCTGCCATGGGCATTTGCTCCAGTCGGTTAAGGACTTTCTCTAGAGGCAGAAGAGGGCACAAGGGAAGAGGAATCCACTGCCCTTTTGCATCACCGCTGGCCAGCTACATGGCTCTGGGAAGGTTATTTGCCTGTCTGTACCTACATTTCCTCATCTCTAAAATGGAGATAATTACCTACGTCTTGGGGTTGTTGTCAGGTTTATAAGAGAAAATGCAGGTGGAGATCTTGTCACAAGCTTGGCACACACTAAATACTCCAAAAATCATCATGATTGTGACTCTCATTTCTTATCTCTGGAAGGTGGGGGAGGGATGTTCGGGGGAGGAATAAAAGGTGTCTGGAGACCTGATGAGATGACATAGTCCAGATAGGCCCCCAACTTCTGGCAGAGAAGAAATGATTACCCCTATTTTATGAGTTACTGAAGGCATGGAGGTAAATGCCATTCCCAAGGCCATTTGTCTTCTCTGTACTTCCTTCTGGTCAAGTCTCCTTTCGGTGAGGCTGGACCCTCAGCCTCTTGCCTCCAGACCCAGAGGAGGAGGCTGGAGGGCTGCGTTGACTCTGTGACAGTCAGGCACCAAGGGCGGGTCCACCCAGGACAAAAACCTGTGGTTGAGATGGTCATCTGGCCATCAGAGCTCAGCCAGCTCCTGCAGTTCAGGCTTCCTGTCTGGAGGAGTCCCTGCTGCCCTTGGCTCAGCCTCAGGGGCTAGGACTGGCTCTGTGGCTTCTTATGCTTCTAAGCCTTTTCATATCTGGAAGATCAAAGTGTTCTGAAGTGGGGTCTGGGGGATGGGAGTGGACTGACTCTTGGCTCAGCTGGTCAGAACCTACACAGGGATAAAGTCTGGAGATATGGGAAGAAAGATGAACATGAGGGAAGGGAGGCTGAAAGGCTTGGACAGTTCCCAAATCATTTCAGTCTCCCAAGAAGCTCAGTCCCTTAACCTCAGGCAGCCAGAGAAGACGGGTAAATCCTTTTGGCAACCCAGATGTGTTCAGTAGTGCAGATGTGTATCGTGGTATCTCACATGCAGGGTTTAGTCTGTGGTTAATGCTCAGCCTCGTAGATCATGTGAAAAATTCAGCATTGGTTAAACCAGACCAAATGTTGGATGATGGTCTAGAGAAAAATTTTGGGGGAATATGTCTATCTCAACACCGAATCCTAGGTAGTTTTCCCATGTCTTGTGTTTCTGATTTGGGGGAAGACAACCTTATTCAAGCAGTAGCTGTACTCATGTAGATTAAGGGAAGTTACATTTTAAAAACTGTGCCTCCCCCCGCAAATCGAACAAGATGTGTGTATGGAGATCTCCTGGTCAGTTTCCTGGCTCAGTGAGGGGCTGCAATGGGACCAGGAGCTCCATCCGTCCATCGTGCTCCATGTACCTTGCTTGTTGTAGAGAAGATGGTTCTGGGGAGCAGGACCAAGGAGGGAGAGGAGAAGCTATAAGCAAAGATAAAGCTGGGGCCTGCTGCAGGCATTTAAAATACCTAGAAGTCCTTGGCCCAAGGCTTACTGAGCTCTGACATGCCTGGAAATGAAGAGCAGACTTTGTTCTTCAGGTTGGTCAACTGTCCAAATCGATGGACCCATCTTGGCTTCTCTGCTGGTATTTTCAGTTACACCCATGCCCTGAGCTGGTCGGCCATGGTGGGTGCTGGGTGATTGGGTGCATGGGTTACAGGGACACGTGTCTAGGTTTAGTTCTGGGCTCCACTGCTTCTTAAACTGTTGGGCCTTGGAAAGAGGCTAAGCTGCTCTGTGTCTCCATTTTCTCTCCACCACAGAGGGTAATTATTTTCCCACCTCATTCTGCTCTAGTGAGGAGAAAACGCAGGTAGAGGCTTAGCACAGTGCCCTGTGAGAGACACGTGTGACTATTGCTGCGGGGGTTCAGCAGTTTCCGGGATTTGGGCTCCAGGTGCGGTTCCTGGAGCAGCAGAACCAGGTGCTGGAGACCAAGTGGGAGCTGCTGCAGCAGCTGGACCTGAACAACTGCAAGAACAACCTGGAGCCCATCTTCGAGGGCTACATCAGCAACCTGCGGAAGCAGCTGGAGACGCTGTCCGGGGACAGGGTGAGGCTGGACTCAGAGCTGAGGAATGTGCGGGACGTGGTGGAGGACTACAAGAAGAGGTGAGCAGGAGGAGCCCCCTGGTAGCTGGACAACTGCCCTGTCCCTCCGAGGGACCCCTGGCAGTCACCCAGCTTCAACGTTTTGGAGGTCGGTGGGGGGCATTGTTCGTGGTCATACCAAGCAGAACCACCCCAACAGCACTCTGGAACTTGCTCTCTGTTCCTCCAGCCTCTGGCCCGACTCTTAGGACAAATGTCTGGTGAGCTGGGCAGTGGGCAGAGGGCAATCTCTGGCTCTGGGTTTAGGGGATGCCTGGGGAAACCCCTCATGTTCTTCTCTCATGTAAGAGGACAGTTAGGTGCATCTGGCTCCAAGACTGCTCTCAGGGGTCACTGAGGAAACACAGATTGGAGCAGTTGGTCATTTGTAAAGCTGTACTCAAATTTGGGGAGAGTGGGTTCACTCTCTTGCTTCCTCCAAGAGTCCCAGAGGACATTCGCTTCATGTGCTCCTTCCTCATTTGCTAAGCTAGATCTTCAATAGTCTCATTCTTACTGGTTAGCATGTTCCCTCCTCTAGGAAGCCTTCCCCCACTCACCTCTGCCCAGTACTCTGTTGCCCCCAGCACCTGTTATCTCCTGATGAGCACACTGCTCCTTGCTCAAGCTCTACCCTGTACAAGCAAGGGCTTTCAGTGAGAGGTATGAACCGACAAGCCCTTGCATTCCCACAGGTATGAGGAGGAAATCAACAAGCGGACAGCGGCAGAGAATGAGTTTGTGCTGCTCAAGAAGGTGAGGGGAAGGCAGGCCTTGAGTCTGGGGCTGGCCTGGGACCTGGGGGAGCGGAGCCTGCCAAGGTGCTCTGCTAGACCCCTGAGGTGAACTGATTCAAGGGTAGTGAGGTGAAGGCAGAGAAAAGCTTGATGAAAGGCAATACAGGGAAAGGAATGAAAAGGCAGGGAGGGTGCTAGTGAGAGGACACCTGACTGCATGTCCAATGTGGCTGTGGTTTGAACACGGAGAAGAATAACAGAGGACACCACTGAGGGTCTCCCCTGCAGCCCCGGGACCCAGCAAAGACACCACAGGCACTTCATTCCTGCTGCAGGAACAGATTCTCAGGGTGAAGTGGGCTGGGCCTTTGCACCTTTATCTCCTTTCCCATAGCAAAGTGAAGAGAAGAGAGTGATTCTTTCCCCACACAAGGAACCCAGGCAGGTATGGGTGCTGGTTTCTTGGCTGTACCAGCCGTGACAGAGGATTGTGGTGGCATCTTTCAGGATGTGGACGCGGCTTATGCCAATAAGGTGGAGCTGCAGGCCAAGGTGGAATCCATAAACCAGGAGATCAAGTTCTTCAGGTGTCTCTTTGAAGCTGTAAGTCTGTCTGTCCACTCCATTCATCTGGGGGAGGCTAGTGGGTTAAATTCTATTCTAAGGGCTGCAAGAGACATGGAGGCCCCAGCCCTCAGTGAGACCCCTCAGTTAGCCGTCCATCTCTCACATCAGCCCCAGTCTCTGCCCTCCAAGCAGAAAGGGAATGGGCCAGGTCCTTGCTATGGCAATGGGAATCTGTCTGGGCCCAGTAGGGAGCTTGCTTTGCCCCAAACAAACAGCCCCGGAAGGCAAAAGCCCCAGGTTCAAGCCTCCAAGCTGGCATCACCAGCATTTGCTCATCTTGTGTTGGGGAGGTGGTTGGGCTCCGACGGTGGTTGAGCCAAGAGACCATCCCTGTGTTCCCTTCAGGAGATCGCTCAAATCCAGTCCCACATCAGCGACATGTCTGTCATCCTGTCCATGGACAACAACCGGAACCTGGACCTGGACAGCATCATCGACGAGGTCCGCGCCCAGTACGAGGAGATCGCCCTGAAGAGCAAGGCTGAGGCCGAGGCCCTGTACCAGACCAAGGTGAGCTGGGCTGAGGCTGGGCCAGGGAGGGTGACACCAGCGGGCAGCGGATGGGGCCTGATCGCACCCAGAATAGATGTAGCATCCCGGTAAGTCTGTTGTGTTCTTCCTCCGAGATACATGCACTCCCACAACATGCTCATGGCTCTGTGCTTTGGGGTCCCCAGTTCCAGGAGCTGCAGCTGGCGGCTGGCCGGCATGGGGATGACCTCAAAAACACCAAGAATGAAATCTCGGAGCTCACTCGGCTCATCCAGAGAATCCGCTCAGAGATCGAGAATGTGAAGAAGCAGGTGAGGGCATCTTGGCCTTGGCCTGTGGTCAAGTGCAAGGGAGCATGAGTGGACGGGAGATGAGCTGCTGAGAACATTGGCCTCCCAGATTGCTGCCTTGGGAGAAGAGAGGAGGCCAATGAGGTCACTGCCTCAAACGCCTGGAGCAGGACATCCCTGGGCCTACTCACCTCCTACTCACTCCAAGGACCTTGGCCTCGAAGCTTGGTGCCCTGTTTCCCTAGCATCTAGCAAAGTGCCTGGCACACAGTCACAGCTTGATAAGCATCTGTGGAGTTCATGATTGAGATACAGACATGGGCTCAGGGAGCACCCATTAAGGTGCCTTGCTAAGGATTGACAAGGGACTGCTCCCAGGAATATAGGAGGCAACCTCCGCTTGTAGGTGAGACACAACATGTACATATATGATAACAATGGCAGTGGTGCCTACTGTTCTGTCACATGTCATCCTCACCAACACCCTGAGAGGCAACAGCTGCCCTCCTTGTTGATATAGATGAGGAAACTGAGGCTCAGAGAGGATAAGGGGGTTACACAGCTGGTAAGTGGCAGAGCTGTGATCTGGACCAAGGTCTCTGGCCTCCTAGCCCAGTGCTCCTTCTATTCTCTCATGGGCTTCAATAGTTGCTTTGTGACTTTGGACAGGTTACTTCCGCTTACTTCGCAGGGTGTTGCAAGGACTAAATGAGTTAAGTTATGTCAACAGTATGTGTAGTATTGAGCTGGTGCTGGCATACACCAGTGCTTGCCAAATAACAGTTGCTCCTGGGGTGTGTCTTTCCCTGTCCCCCTCGTCTGTGGCGTCATGCTCCTGGGCAGCTGCTGCCATTGCACGTGCTGCAGCATATTCAATCATCTCTCCTCCCAGCCCTATGCTCAAGAGCAGAAAGCCAATCTTGCTCTCACTCATTTTGTGCCCTTGGCACACTATGGCTGAATACATGTCTTTACACTGAACTAAAGTGGAGTTCAGAAGGGCAGGGCTGAGTCATTTCCATTACCCACACATCTATCACAGAATGGGGCTAGAGCTAAGGAGGGACACGCCACCCCCAGAAGGGGCTCCGGCTGTAAGAGAAATGTGGTGGTGTGTAGGGTGGGGGTGGGCCACTCCGCCCCACTCTAAGGACCCAGAGGGATTTGGATGTGGATGGCTGCAGTGGCTCCTCCTAGTTTTCCGACTTCACCAATTCCTTCCTTAGGCTTCCAACCTGGAGACGGCCATCGCTGATGCGGAGCAGCGGGGGGACAGCGCCCTGAAGGATGCCCGGGCCAAGCTGGATGAGCTGGAGGGCGCCCTGCACCAGGCCAAGGAGGAGCTGGCGCGGATGCTGCGCGAGTACCAGGAGCTCATGAGCCTGAAGCTGGCCCTGGACATGGAGATCGCCACCTACCGCAAACTGCTGGAAAGCGAGGAGTGCAGGTGGGCGGGGTGTTCCCAGGCAGGAGGGCCCCAGGGATGAGGGAAGACCCCGAAGGAGAAAGCCTAACATAATCTGGAAGAGATGAGTTCTTAGGGAGTAATGGGATGGTGAGGATAGAAACAGTGATAGTAATTAATAATACTGCCATGAGTGGACATGAATATCCACTCATAACAGACGGTGAGAGCTGCTTCATGGCAGGCACTGTGAGATGTCGTATGCTATGCAATTCAGTCATTCTTCACAGGCATGCTGGAAACATCCACTGCCCTGCTCCCTGCAAAACCTCATCACTCTATTAGGCATTCTTATTTGCTCCTCCTGATCTTTCCATGTACAACAGCCACCCCAGCTTCCCCAGGGCTCTCCAGGGATGGGCAGGCTGGCGTGTGGGAGGCAGCTGCACTGCCCCCATGTGTGCACCTCTTGTAAACTATTGTTTGACCAGGGTTGTTGTCTGGTTACCCCAAAGATTCGGGGGTGGCCTCCAAAACTTCTCAGGCTCTGCTTGCATCAAAGAAGCTCTGGGATTTGCACAGGTGCCTCTAGGATTCAAAAATCCACATCAGGCTGATGGTGGCAGAAGCTTTGAAGAGACTGTGAGCTGGATAACCTCTCTCTTATTTGATTTCTCTCCTTAACAGGATGTCAGGAGAATTTCCCTCCCCTGTCAGCATCTGTAAGTATTTGTATACTTTGACCCAAAATTTCAAAATGCAGACTGGAAAAGACCTTAGTGACACCCTATGTGTGTAGATGAGGGATCTAAGAACCAGCAAGGGAAACAGTTTCCTGAGATCACAAAGCCAGATGGCAGAGCCATGGCCAGAATCGGCTCTCCTGACTCCCAGCCCTGGCCTCCTTCATCTTTATCCCTCTGACTTTCTGTTCCCAGGGATGTCAGCAAGGGAAAGCTATTGTCATGGGGAAACAAAGGTCATGTTGCAGAAAAATGATGCATGGGTCTGTGTGAGGCCTAGGGAGACAGGTTTGCAAACTGCAATCAGACCTGGGCTTGGGAAGCAGGGAGGGCTGAGGGAATGAGAGAATGAGAGGTCTCAGGGGTCAGGCTGGCAGTATCAGATCACTGCATTGCTTAGCAGGACTAAAAGAGTTAACCCAGAGCTTCTGAAAGATGCCTGCTCTGGGACAGCTAGCGGGAGAAAGAGGTTGGAGGCTGCAAAGTTTAGCACAAAGGCTAATAGAAAGGGCACTGGGTGGGTGTTCAGGAGGACAGGTGGGGGTATTGGTACCTGGACAAAGGAGTTGGGCCTCTGGGCATTAATGGGGTAAGACTCAGCCAGATTGGGTATAAGCCAAGCAAGCCAAGGACAGAGCATGAGGGAAGCTGTCTTTGGTATATTCTCCCCAGGGGGAGGGAGCAGTTGTGCGCCTCCCCCTTCAACTACTCCAAAAAGAGCCCCGTCTGCCTGGGAAAGGAGGCCTCCCCAGCTCTTGGCCTGAGTGGGTGTTGGCCTCGGCCCCCTCTGCAGCCATCGTCAGCAGCACCAGCGGCGGCAGTGGCTATGGCTTCCGGCCCAGCACGGTCAGCGGTGGCTACGTGGCCAACAGCAGCAGCTGCATCTCTGGAGTGTGCAGCGTGCGAGGCGGGGAGGGCAGGAGCTGGGGCAGTACCAGTGATTACAAAGACACCCTGGGGAAGGGTTCCAGCCTGAGCGCCCCCTCCAAGAAAGCCAGTCGGTAGAGAGTTATGCCCCAGCCTCCGCCTCATCCCGTGACCCGGCTCCGGCTCCCACACTGTACTTCCTACAGCCCACTATCAGCTCCATCTGCACCCTGCTGGTCCTGCTCCCATACACCTGGCACTGGCCTTGGCCACCCACTTCTCCCAGCCTGTGTCTTCCTGAGCCTGGGAAGGCCTGGATGACCAAGCTTGATGAGATTCCTCCCTGTACACTCCCTATTTACTCCTTGGCTGTGGTCCCCTGGCTACACCACCAGCCCAGGCCCCGGCTCCCAGCTTTCCTCCTCTGCCCAGCCTCTGGCTCAGTTGCTAACTATTCTGCTGAGCTCCCTGGGTCTCCCACCGAGACCCTGCACACACTGGGGCCTAGCACAGCTTCTGCTTCTGCTAGCAGCTGGCTCTGTGTTCAAGAAAAAAAGGACTGAAGGACAAACAACCAAGAGTGGTCCAGTCCCCACCCCCACATCCAGCTCAGTCTCAGATCTGAGTGGGACCAAGTGCAATTCAAGGCCTTTTTCTCCACCTGCACCCAGAAGCAGAGAAGAGCATGCACTGTTCACTTTTCCTTCATTCTTAACAGCCTTCTTCTGTTGCATCCTCAATAAATAGCACAATCTGATGGCTTGGTCTCTGCGTATTCAAATTACACACTTGTACCTCAATTCACTCCCTTGAGCATGCACCATACACATTCATGAACACACGAAGCACACACACACACACACGCACACACACGCGCGCATACATCATTGTGCACTGCCCATGCAGCCTATACATCTGTGTTAAATTTTCAGGAGGCAAATGGGGTGTGGAGCAGAGTCTAGGAGGAGGGGCAGGAGGGAGGAAAGGAGAAGCCCAGAAAGCATGTGCATGTACTGGCTGCAGGCTTCAGCAGACAGACACACACACACTGTGTCCAGTGACAGAAATGGTTGTGTTCCTGACCTGACCGTGCCTGTTTCTGGGACTGCACCTTTCCTCTTCACAAGGTGGGCTTCGTGCACAAGTATTTGCTCTTCCTCACTGCTCAGAGGCCTGGCCTCCTGGGGGGTCAGCAGGTGGGAGTCCTACACTCTGGGCCTCTCTGATGGAAAGGTAAGTAACAAGTCTTGGAAGTTGGGGCTGGAGTAGGGAGAAGTGAGCTGGGGGGTCCCACCAAGGGTTGGGGGTGGGCTATGAATTTCAGTAACTATGCAGTTGGCACTGCCCCAGACATTCTCCTGTCCCACCTTCCAGAACCACTATGGTGATGGCCAGTCCTGTCTCATGAGGGTTGTGAACAGACAGATTCCCCAGGCCAGCTCTGTGTCATCTGTGTCTGGCAGGGGTGGTGTAGGAGGCGTAGGGCATTTGTAGGCAGATGGGAAGCTAACACCTTTGCAGTGACTAGGCAGCGATCTAGTCCCAGGGTAGCCACACTAATGGCATTGTCTGGGGGAAGGAAGAGGGTTTCAGTTTCACAGAGGAGAAGGGAGGCCTGGGGATGGTGCTGGGCTGGAGGGGGATCAGAGGATAAGGGTTTGGGTCAAGAAGAGCAAGTCTGATGGCAAAGGAAGGCACAGGGTCCAGAGGAAGGGACGGATGGTCTGGGTTGACATCTAGGACGTTTAGAGTAGGGACTGGAGCTTAGGGCAAGGCTCAAAAGCCCCCACCCAGGAGGTAGTCGGAGCCAGAGACTCCTGGCTGTTATCAACCTGTCAGCATCGCCATCTAGCAGGTGAGTGAGTGGAACAAGACTCAACAACACATTTGCTCCCTTGGTTGATAAGGTGAAGCGTGTGTGTGTGTGTGTGTGTGTGTGTGTGTGTTCGGTACTGGGCACAGACATTGCCATTTCCTCAGTGCAGGCACCATGCACACCTGCTGCCTTTGTTAGCCTCCCGGCTTTGCAACAGTAAGGACTGAGGTTGGATAGCAGAAAGAACTTTCCAGTTGAGAGGCTAAATGAAATGGCTAGATTCTCAAATGTGGAGGTGGAGGCTTCTCTAGATGCTGCTGGTTTATCACACAGATTTAAGGAGGAAGGGAAGAACTCCCTTTATGCCCCAGGGCTCACAGTTCTCCTGAGTGGACAGGGTTATTCTGGCTTGTTTTCTAAAGCCACAAAACAAAGTGCTGGAGACTGGAGCCTCCTGCAGCAGACTCAGAAGCCCAGCACTGGCCCATGGCAGGGGCCTGAGCTATCAGCTTGACAGGTTCCAGCATGAGAGGGCAGGGATGGACAATTTTGGAAGCAAGTGAGGGCTCTGGGGAAAGGAAATAATGACAATGACTAGCAGGCAAGGTGGCCATCATGTGAATCTACATGGTAATTTGGTTATGGCTGCTAAGAGTAGCAGTCCTTTACACAGGCTGAAAAATAATCCAGCAACTTAGAAAAATACTGATGTCCAAGCCTCTACTCCAAACCAATTATGTAAGGCTATGCACAGGAAGTAGGGCCTAAGCATTAACTGGTAACTTCTGAAAGTCAGCAAAGGGGTTCTAATGAGCAGCCAGAGCTGGGAACCATCAGCCTAAACTGTGATTTGGGGGACACTGTGGTTCTGCCCTGATACAGAGGGAAATAATGGTTTGATCAATTATTAATGTCTACCAGGGTCACCAGTGGAGGAAGTGATAGGGTATATTTTTCTTCTGATGGGTGCCTACCTGTTGCTTTACAGTTTACAAAGCATTTTCATACACATTAACTAAGAACAGTGCTGGGAGTGAAGGATTGTTGTTATAGCCTTTATATAGATGAAAAAACTGAGGATCAGAGCCTCAGCCTATCTACAGCCACCCTGGGGCTAGACCTCAAGGACACCCTGTGTATTGTCTGCCTTTTAGGGGGCTAGGGGAGGAGAGTGGGTGCAGGGCTCTGGCTCACAAGTCTGGACAGGAGTTCATCCTTGGCAGTGCTGTCACCTGCCTGCTTCTCCTACCTGAAAGCTTCCAAGAAGAGGCCACCACAGGGTCAATGTGGAAGAGGACTGCTACATGGACCCTTCATGAGGCCCTGGGATCCTGATGCCGAGTGGCCTCTGTACTATATAGCAGGAACTGATCCATTTATTTTACCAGCAGGATCAAGAATGTCAGTGGGTCAATCCAAAGGTGAGATGGAGATGCTGGGGCATATCTTGGGTTGGAGACAGAGACTGGCCCAAAACAGCACTATAAGCAACTGGGCAACTTCACTAAGCAGGAGTGCTTTGTGCAAGAGGGAGCTTGGGGTGGGGCTACGGGGCCAGGGCGGGGAAAGGAAGGCATCTAAAGATAGAGGGGGCTGTGGTTGAAGGACTGTGGGAGTGGAGGAGAGGAAATCTGTGATGCTTGAGAAGTGCCCCTTGGGAGAGATCCCTTCTCTCTTCCACTTACTCCCATGGAAAGGACTTACTGGTCCTTTCTGGCATCTCTCCCAGTGCCAGTGACCAGAGACTGGATTGCTTTCATGAAGGTGCTTGGCGCCCATTCATACTCAGCACAAGCTGATGGCCTATCTTCCCTCCCCGTGAGTCTCTGATTCCAGGCTGTCCCTGCAGGTACCAAAGGGAGCTGGTCCTTGGGACACCTGCTGGAGGGTGACCACAGCAGGCCAAGCCAGACAAAGCAGCTCAGCAGGGGCACTACCAGAGGCTGCTGGGGGTCAAGCCGGCTGTAGACATGGAAGTTGGCACCCTCAGGACACCTCGGGCTGAGGAGAGCGGTGGGTTCCCTGTGGCACCTGAGGGTCCTAACAAGGTATCAGAAGCCTCCCAGCCTTGGCCACTGCTCTGCTCCTTCTCTCCATCTACAGAGCCTCACCCCCATGGCCTGTCCTGTACTTCAGGCCCAGAGTACCAGGCAGGGGAAATGGAAGCTGATGTTTATGAATCACCTTCCATGGGCCAGGCTCTGGAGGCTGGGCACGGCTTCCACATCATCCTTCTGAGGTGGGTGTTATTATTCCCAAGGCAGAGACTTACTAACCCCAGGCTGCAGAGCCAGGATCCAGTGAGGTCTGTCTCTCCATAGACCACACTCTTTCCACACCACGGCCCTGCCTCCCAGGATGGGATCTGTGTGCCCCTGCCTCTGCAGCGGCAGTACCTTTCCACCCTCCCCGATGCCCTGCAGGCTCCCTGCCAATTTGCTGTTGGCACTTCTGTCATATTCCATCAGCCGAAGTCTGATATCTCTGGGTCCCAGAGGCAGATTTGGAAAAGATGGTTGGTGGAGACACTACAGCCTCTGAAGCCAGAAAGGCTGAGACATTCCCTCTGCACATCCTTGCAGGCAAGTCCAGCCCAGACTCAGGGTTCTCTGGATCTGAGACCCCTTAATCCATGGTCAGGGATAATGGAAGGCATTTTCCCAACTCTGGGCAGTGGCAGGGCCACCACCTTTGAGCGTCCTTCATGTTTGTGACCAGCATAGGTGGCCCTGGATAAATGCTTTGGCTAGAAGAGATGTGTAGTGAGGAAGTCCTGAGCCAGCCCCAGAGGCTCCAGACCACCGGAGTAGGATTCTGGGAGTCTCCTATCATCAAGCAGCATTTCACATCAGCTGCTGGGGCTAATTTGGAGCACCAGAGGAACTAGTCTTTTATTTTGCCAAAATTGGACATTAAGAGTGCAACAATGGGATCTAATTAAACTCCAGAGCTTCTGCACAGCAAAAGAAACAATCATTCGAGTGAGCCAGCAGCCAACAGAATGGGAAAAAATTTTTGCAATCTACCCATCTGAAAAAGGGCTAATCCAGAATCTACAAAGAACTACAACAGATTTACAAGAAAAAAACAAACCCATTCAAAAGTGGGCAAAGGACATGAACAGACATTTTTCAAAAGAAGACATATATGAGGCCAACAAACATAAGAAAAAATGCTCATCATCACTGGTCATTAAAGAAATGCAAATCAAAACCACATTGAGATACCATCTCACACCAGTTAGAATGGCGATCATTAAAAAATCTGGAGACAACAGACACTGGAGAGGATGTGGAGAAATAGGAACAGTTTTACACTGTTGGTGGGAGTGTCAATTAGTTCAACCATTGTGGAAGACAGTGTGGCGATTCCGTAAGGATCTAGAAATAGAAATACCATTTGACCCAGCAGTCCCATTACTGGGTATATACCCAAAGGATGATAAATTGTCTGTTATAAAGACACATGCACACATATGCTCACTGTGACACTGTTTACAACAGCAAAGACCTGGAACCAACCCAAATGCCCATCGATAATAGACCAGACAAGGAAAATGTGGCACATATACACCATGGACTACTAGGCAGCCATAGAAAACAATGAGCTTGTGTCCTTTGTAGGGACATGGATAAATCTGGAAACCATCATTCTCGGCAAACTGACACAAGAACAGAAAATCAAGCACCAAGTGTTCTCCCTCATAGGCAGGTGTTGAACAATGAGAACACATGGACACAGGGAGGGGAGCACCACACACTGGGGTCTGTTGGGGGGGAATAGGGGAGGGACAGCAGGGGGTAGGGAGGTTGGGGAGGGATAACACGGGGAGAAATGCCAGACATAGATGATGGGGGGATGGAGGCAGCAAACCACATTGCCATGTATGTACCTGTGCAACAATCCTGCATGTTCTACACATGTACCCCAGAACCTAAAGT